AATCGCCAGAAACATTGCTCATTGAAGATTATAGAGAGCTTTAGAGAATACTTTACTAAAAAGTTATATACTATAGATGATTTTAATGCGAAATATCAACAAACTAATGTGAGTTGATTCTTGATGATGAAGAGAAAACCAATCGAATGGATTGAATTTGGTGAAGTGGTAAACAGCTAGAATGACATCATAGCTGTGGATGGGATAGATAAGCAATATCCGACCCGTCAGTATTTTTATACATGTACAAGACCGAATTTAATCCCCATTCCAATTGGTTAATAACGAGTTACCAACTCCTAGTCATTTGTGGGAGTGAAAACACACAAGCCAATATATCAGCTATCTATGCAAAAATACTGCTTACTTCATATTCTACAGTCCATATTTGCTTTCACTTTGTGTTGGCACATTCCACCCCAATATCCATGTAAGGCATGCAAGCCAGTCAAGGCAGTATAATCATGAGTGGGTGCATTGCACACAATACAAACCTTGTATTGGTGCAAGAATGGTATCAGATAATTGCTAGATGCCATGATTCAATTGTGGTCTTTGACCTCTTTCCATGATAAACATAACATATACCCATAATCTATCAATCCATATACATACACAGCTCCTACATTTTAAGGAGTTTCTCAAGAAGAAAAGATTTAAACAGGGGAGGAATTTGATATCAATTGATCCATGCTATTGACTATTCTACTTGATGATTAGATTGAGACAAAAAGACAATTTAACTCTTTGAAAGTGTGAGTTCAAATCACAGATGTACAATTGTTAGACAGTTGATGATAACTGAATTTGATTGTGTTATGAGCCAATGAGACTACAAGTGACCATAGAGCCCAATATAAGATACATGGTTCCTTGGGGTAAGTGTGTTTTCAAACAGATCATCAGCAATGAGGATCCTCTTTGGCAAATAGCCACTGTCATTCATGACAATAGTTGTGCTATAGTAGCAAAGTGTTACAATGAAATTGTGCTGACCCTCACCCTGGGCAGCAAGCAACAGAAATGAGCCACAATGGGTGAATGGGTAGGAATTGCAAATGTTGACAAAGAGATCTCACAAACATTGTTGTGCAAGTTGAAGATGCCACTGAAGCAGACAAATTAAGGGGCAAGTATGGCAGAAGGCATTCAGATTGGAGGGTTTCCTTGGAGGTAAAAGATTTTGACGACAATGACCTAACACCTTGTAAGAATTCAAGTTTGACGAGACGATAAGCTACAAGACGAACAGACAAACAACCTTTGAAAAAGGTGTAAAAACACGTCTGGTTTTGACAAGACACTGGCTAACAACAAAAAGAAAGAGTTCTAAACTCTTTTAGATGAACCTGACAAGGGCGCGAGGAAGATCAAAAGTAAAGAAAAACTAAGGCAGTGTCAAGAGAAAGAGATTAAGAGAGAAATAGTATATAGTAAAGAAAAAGTTTGCGTTTAGTAATGGTTTTGATATAAAAGAAAAAGTGAAATTTGTAATACAACTCTCACCTTCAAAATCTATTTCCTCGATGGGAAAAAGATTCGAAAGGGAGAGAGAGGAAGGGTTGATAAGAGAAAAGCAACCAGAGGACAATTCGGACACTAATAATGTGAAACAACAAACAAAATAACTTTTAAATAAAAACTCTTTTAATCTAACCACATGCGGAAATTCTTCTTTAATACTCCTCTTGATTTTAAATACTAAGTAAGCCTTCACAACCTCCACGTGTTTCCTTCTGACCGGATTTGTCTAAGTCAACTACAGCCTTAATAGACTTGACACAGTTCTAGAGAATAGTATTCTCCAACACACCTTTTATAAGGTGAACACAAAAGATTCAGCTTTATGTGTTGACAAGACACAGCTGAATAACTAAGATAAAAATAGAGCTCAACGCTCACAGACCTGACAAAGAAGAATAACAGACTTTAGAATATTTTCCTTGACCAGCAAAATACAAACACACCTTTTATAAGGTGAACACAAAAGATTCAGCTTTATGTGTTGACGAGACACAGCTGAATAACTAAGATAAAAATAGAGCTCAACGCTCACGGACCTGACAAAGAAGAATAACAGACTAAAACAAAAAACAAAACCAACAAACCACACCAACATTATTGAGACACAAGTTTAGTATCAATCAAATAATTGGATTAGAAAAATCAATACCCTACCTTTAGAATATTTTCCTTGACAAGAGGAAAAAGATTCTAAAGGTGAAAGACAGTCAGATATATATGAAAAACCCTTCAACATAATCACACACATCACGTCACCAATCATGAGAAAACAAAAACAAACACAATGACTATCACATCCATTTAAAACAACTTTTCCGACCTTGAGTTCAACTTAACTCTTCTTAGCTTTCACACCATAACATATACAACATTCACTTCTACTTTCTAGCTCCAGTCAACTTCCCTCACAACACCCAAGCTCTAGTGACCTTCTCACAAAATGAACTGTTTGAATTAGTTGTATAATTTGATAACAACATAACTTGTAAGTTCTTGAACGTAGTCGAAAGAAACACAACATATAAACACCTTATTTCAACAGGAGGATGCAATGAAGTGGAAACAGGGTGTAGCGGATATCTGGTGGAAAGACAGAGCGGGGAACAGGAGATGCCTTTCTGGCTTGAGCAAAGTCACAGGTCACTATATATAGATGTGATACCCTATGCACACGATGTGGAGCAAAGGTGTAGGTATTGATTAAACTCTTCATAATTGATGTCCTACCAAAAGGTTGTGCCTTCCATAGAAAGGTGACTTTGGTCAGGTCCTGCAGGATCAAGTTTATGTTTGTTATGGCAAACATGGTATTGACTGTTGTGGTAAGCAATGAGGCACAAGACAAGTACTGAGGCATACCAATAATCTGTGGCGGCAAGTGCACATCTGGCGTCAATACTTAGATCAACATGCCATTGTACTATTATGGTACACAAATATTGTTCTGGCAATTTCCAGAAGGTTTTTTCCAGAACTCCAGAACCCTTCGGGAAGCGTTCTGGCGTTCTGGAAAAAACACAAATACACACATAAACTTTCTGCTGCAGCCGTTCATTCCCCACATGCATCACCTAACAAACATGGATCAAGTGATCAACAACGACTACCTCAAGCCAACCCAAGAAGATCAAGTTATCACGCCGTTCACTTTACAAATTCACCCATCTGCGCTTCAGGTCTTTTAATCGACCTTCAATTTGAACTTCAGATCACCAAACTTCTATACGGAACCCATTCCAGGTATCGAGAAATTTTTATTGGCTTGAGATGGGTCATTCACCGTGAATCAATTAATACTCAGAGGCAAAGCTTTCACTGCAATCCAATCGATACATAGAGGTCGTTTTACTCTTATGATTTTCATCCACCTTCTCCCGGTTTTCAAGCACAAAAATCGATCAATACAGGTATCATCATATTGAGATTCTTTCTTAAGTCTCAATTTGTACTCTTTGTACTTGTTATCGGGTTTGAAAGCTTTCTCAAAAGCAATCAAGATGTGACTATGCGAATGGAATGTTTGATATGCATCGGGAAGGAGTATCTTTGAACGATGCACGTTTTATTTTCTCATTCATCTCAATAAAAATGAACAAACCCTCATTCAAATCAAAATGAATATCAAGTGTATATACCTTACAAAAGATTTGAGTTAGAAAGCTATATAGAAGGAAACTAGAAAGAAAACTCAAAAGCTTGAAAACTAGTGAAACAGCGACACTAAGATGAAAGATAAAATGATTATTGTTCCCAAGCCCATTTCAAACACTTTGAGTCGCAATAGATTGAGTGAAAAAAGCATCTTGCCGCGTAGTATCTTGCCCGGATTCATGAACATCAGTCGTTTGTGCGATGGGTTTGGTGCAAAGAGGCCTTAAATGTCCTGTCGATTGAAACAGGCGTTCAGAGTTCTTCAATCGCTTTGAACTTTCAACTCGGCAGGCCAATCTTCCCCATCTGCCTTTGAGAAAGTATGTAATATTATACATACGTGAATCTTTCAAGTTGAGGTTGGGTTTTTTTGAGCCATAATCGAGAAGTGAGAATGGAAGTGCTGAGATGGGAGAGGGATGAGATTTGGTGTCCTAGGGGATGAGGGGAGTGCCAGCGGAGTAGGTGGTGGTTTGGTTCATGGTGTAGTCGGGCTTCTGGAATTCTGGAGTGTGGGGCATTCAAAGTTGCACAACACCAGAACGCCAGAACACACCAAACAAAAAAACTTCTGGCGTTCTGGAAAAAGTGTTCTGGAAATTTCCAGAACAATATTTGTGTACCACATATGTGGTGGCTGGGTGTCATTTTTGGGCCATCTCCATTGACCATTTTGCAAAATATTCCAATATCATATAATAGTGGCTCTCAAACCTGCCCCGGTTTTCAAAAAACCCAGTTGACCCAGTTGTTTTTTGGCAGTAACTTTGTGTATCAAGTTGACATTTGTTGACAGCTCCCAGCCAAAAATTCAACTGGGGCAACCGGGTTTTTTGAAACTGGGTCAGGTTTGAGAGCCACTAATGTTTGGAACTTCTGAATTTGCTCATACCCTTGGTCTATTTCACAACGTTTGCAAGCAGGTTTTAGTTGATAGGATCCAAATGATCAAATTCTTAAACTGTCTCAATGTATCTCCTGGGTTTTCAATACACCAAACACCACCATACAAGTTCAAAAAGGGCTAGGTTTTTGGAATATAAGGAAACTGCATGAATAAGAAACACATTTCATTGCACTATTTGAAAGCCACAAGCCAAACAAATTTTATCTGGTAGATACCAGGCAGAGTACTCTTGTCTGGTAGATAACAGGCCGCAGGACTAAATAGGCCAAATTAGGAGAGGATACTTGAAAACACTTCGTTGTCTGAAATACACGGGTTGGAAGTTTGATCACGATGTTTAAACATAAATAATGAAGCTATTCTTTGCGCACTGATACAAAAGAGTTTGATGGATAAACCAACATTGATACAAAGATATTCATTTTGAATAATCATTGCTCTTGGAAGAGCTGACGTAGTCTGTGGACTCAGGTGTTGGATTATCGGCAGGCGGGGTCGAATATTTTGGTGCCTCAGGAGTAGATTCATGGGTAGATGGAGTAGGAGTCTCGGAGGTAGTCGGATACTTTGGTGGCTCGGGTGTTGGCTCATACGTAGGAGGAGCTGAGTACGTGGGTGACTCAGGCGTTGATTCGTGGGTAGGTTGGGTTTGGTGCTTGGGATGTTTATGTGCTGGCTTATGGGACTTTGACTTATGAGTCGGCTTATGGGACTTTGGCTTATGGGTCGGCTTATGGGATGGATACGTTGGCGACTCAGGCTCCGGCTGATAGGCTGGCGCCGCGGGAACCTTCGGAGGCGAATCGTAAGTAGATGCAGTCGGAGCATCGTACTTTGGCTGCTCGGCTTCATAGTCGCCTCTTTCCTGGTGGTGGCAAGAAAAGAGACAAGTGAGTGAACACGATTGTGATCGACATTATGTTTGGACGCGAGAGCTTACAATCAAGTGCGCGTCTTGATTTGGATTCTCCATCATCAAGCCAACATCACGCTCAATTACTCGTGCCCTACATGATGGATAAATGAGCATGAGAGCAAGATCCTTTGCCAATAGTCCATGACTGCAGTCACTTACGCCTTGGATTGATCTAAGGGAGAAGCCGTCGCGTCTTGATGCATGGTCAAAGCTATTGTATTGAATATGCAACACGTCAGCACTCGGCATGTTCTCTGGATTGTAGGCGTCATCAAAGAGCAAAGGAAGGAGCATAATCAATACGTGAACTTGCCCAAAAGAACCGCTGAAGCAAATGCAAAAGCGAAAATGCGTTTCATGGATAACATGGTGAGATTGAGAAATTGTATCTTGAACTGCGATAATCGAAAGCGAAGTTTGCTAGAAGTATATCACAAAAACAGCATGAGAATTAGATAAGACGTTATCTGTGACGGCTAGCACAGCGAGAAATGGAATAATTCATCGAATGGAATAAGAAAGCTTCCATCGTACCTAATAATTCACTATGTGACTCAAGAGAAGACTTGATGAATGATGATGGCGATAAATGACTCGAGGTAGCGAACGTGACCGGCTTTTATGCTTGCCCAATCAGTAATGATTCTTGAGAAGCGACAAACTCGTGTGTGTCAGTACATGCCAGTGACTAGGTATCTCATCCATGCAATTCACCTATGTTACAGGATGTGGAAGCGTCGGTACAAGATGCTCAAGGCCATCAGCTGTGCTGTTGAGAATCCGCATCAGCCTTCCATTGATCACCTTGACCGAGTCGAAAGAGATATACCCCTGGCCGATTTCCATTGAAAAGCACAATTTCACTTTGACATAGGGTGTGCATTGTGGTCAACCCAACATATTGCGGGTGTCGTGTTCTCCTATGGAATCGATTGGTTGTCCGATATTGAAGATAAATATTCAACGCATTCACTATACATTAGAATATCAATGGATTTTCGTGACATTGATGATACAAGCTCGAAGTGAGAGAAAACCTTTCAAACTTTCACTTCAGGTCCTCATATTCAGCACACAAGCTTACAAGCTTCGGGTCGCCTCCGTAGTGGCAGCCGCACAGCGCACTTCCTTTACAACAGATTCTTGATTCTCGATGTGTTTAGCGCGCATGAGTTCAAGGCGAAGTTGAACCATGAAATTTTTGCCTGAAGTCATGGAATATCATTTTCGTGTCCTTTAGATGCAAGATGAGTCTACAGTGGTATGTATCATAATTCGATCGAGACCACATCCAGATATCCTCCGGAGATATTGGTCGAAAAAGATACTTCGACTTGTAACCTGCCTCGGCAGGTTCGGGAGCCATGTGGTTTATGGATATCTGCTCGAGCATCTAGTGAACCATGATGCAAGTGGTAGACTCTTTGATCCTCAAGCAATTTTTCAGGAGACCGGACGAGATTCAGAGTGGAAAAGACAGATCTTCCCATATCACTGCATTTGGATGCTACCTTCATAACACTGCTACGTAGAGTGTTACATGTTATCACTGTTTGAGGGAAATTATTGGCGACATGGCATGTTCCAATTGATGAACCTGTTCAAGTAAGTCACAAATTACAAAAATGCTAACCAATCGTTCACGCAGTACATGCAATGAACAACATAAAGAAAACACTATGTAACAGGACTCTTGAGTGATTTCTGACACCTGACTCTGGGCCCTGGTGCAACTCAAGCTTTGGAACCAGTTGCAACCAGTTTCAAGATGGTGTTAAACAGATGATCCATTCATTTTCTAACTTTTATACACTGCATCCGAAAGGTTGCTAATCCCTTGCCTAGGTTTCAGCTACGCGAGGGGAAAGCTTATTGCGGGAGTTGGGGAAGGACAATTCGTCATAATGCCTCAGAGACCTGTTGGAAGGGAAAAAATCGACTTGTAAATTGCCTCGCATATCATCATCCGATAACAGGTCAGGTTTTGGAATCCGAGGAAAACATGTGGATAACAAACACATTTCATTTCAGCATTTAGAAGCAACGAGCCAAAAAGCTCTTATCAGGTGTCCATCAGACAGTACTACTATACAGATAAAAGAAAATGAGAAAGAGAGAATGATTTGAAACGCTTTGTCATCTGAAGTACACGGGCTAACCACTTGCTCACAATTCAAAATGGAAGTTTAATTTATCATTCGCGCACTGATACAGAGGAGTTTGATGGATGAACGAAAATTAAGAGAAAAATTCATAAGTCATCATTCAGGCTTGCTCTTTGAAGAGCAGAAATAGTCCGTGGACTAAGGTGTTGGCTTATAGGTAGGTGGGGTAGGATATTTTGGTGCCTCAGCGGTCTTTTCATAGGCAGGTTCAGTAGGAGTCTTGGGAGGGCTTGGATACTTGGGTGGCTCAGGGGTTGGCTCGTATTTGGGTGGAATTGGAGTCTTGGGCGGGGTTGGATACTTGGGTGGCTCGGGAGTTGGCTCGTGCTTGGATGGAATTGGAGTCTTAGGCGGGGTTGGGTACTTGGGTGGCTCGGGAGTTGGCTCGTGCTTGGGTGGGATTGGAGTCTTAGGCGGGGTTGGGTATTTGGGTGGCTCAGGAGTCGGCTTATAGGTAGGTGGAGTGGGAGTCTTGGGAGGGCTCGGATACTTTGGTGGCTCGGGAGTTGGCTCGTATTTGGGTGGAATTGGAGTCTTAGGCGGGGTTGGGTACTTGGGTGGCTCAGGAGTCGGCTTATAGGTAGGTGGAGTGGGAGTCTTGGGAGGGCTCGGATACTTTGGTGGCTCGGGAGTTGGCTCGTATTTGGGTGGAATTGGAGTCTTAGGCGGGGTTGGGTACTTGGGTGGCTCAGGAGTCGGCTTATAGGTAGGTGGAGTGGGAGTCTTGGGTGGCTCAGGCATCGGTTTGTGGGTAGGTGGGGTTGGGTACTTTGGCGGCTTATGCTCAGGTTCATGGAACTTTGGTGGCTCATGCTCAGGTTTGTGGTGTTTCTGGGTAGGATACTTTGGTGACTCCGGCTCCGGCTTATAGGCTGGCACCGCGGGAACCTTGGGCGACGAATCGTACGCAGGTGAGACCGGCGCAGTGTTCTTTGGCTTCTCGACCTCATAATCGCCTCGTTCCTGGCGGTGGTAAGAAAATAAGCAAGTGAATGAGCGTGATTGTGCTAGGTACTACGTTCTAGACGCGAGAGCTTACAATCAAGTGGGCTTCCTGATTTGGATTCTCCATCATCATGCCAACATCACGCTGGACTAACCCGCGCCTACATGATGGAAAATGAGCATGAGAGCAGGATCCCTTTTCGATGGTCCATGATTGCAATCACTTACGTCTTGATTTGATTCAAGGGAAAGGCCGCTGCTTCTTCATGCATGGTCAAAGCTATGCAAAAAATAAAAGATGTTAACAGTCCGCTTGTCGGACTTCATCAAAGAGCAAAGCGGCATGATCATCATGAAGACTTACCCAAAAGGACAGCCGATGCAAACGTAAAAGCAAACATGCGCTTCATTGATATCATGATGAGTTATCTTGGATTGCGATAATTGAAAGTGAAAATTCCTAGAAATTTACGATAAAAACAGCGTAGCAATTAGACAATATATTATTTGTCAAGGCTTGAAAAATGGGAAATATAATGATTTATGATAAGAAGAGCTTCTATCGTACCTAATAGCTTACTGTTGGACTAAAGAGGAAGCCTGATGAATGATGATGGCGATAAGTGATCCTATGTGGCGAAGAGGCCTACCTTTTATGCTTGTCCAATCAGTGCTGAATGATCTTTGAGAAACGACCAACTCGTTTATACTAGTATATCTCATGATCATGTATGCCATCCATGCAATCCACATGCTACCAATCAACCGTGTTTCCAAATTAATGTTGCAATTAGGGCGTTAGGGGGTATGAAGGTTTGGTCACAAGGTGGTGAAAGATATCAACTATACTGTTCCATTGCGGTATAATCCTCATCACCCTTCCATTGATCGCATTAGCCGAGTAGAAGGAAAGATGCGCCGGTGGTTTCCATCGAAAAGCATATTTTCAGGTTGAAAGGCGATGGCGGGGGTGACTTGACATCTCGCGGATGACGCGTTCTCCTGTGCAACTGATGCGTTGTTCGCGATGAAGACAAATCTTCAAAGTATTCACTGCACAGCAGGATATGATCAATGAAAGGGATTTCCATGACCTTGATGATTGCATATGTCTGTACAATCGCAAAGTGGGAAAGAATTCGCTTTCAAACTTTCACTCCAGGTAGCTCCAGGAGCACACCAACTTACAAATTTCGTGTCGCCTTCATAGTGGCGGCCGCGCAGCTCACTTTCTGTACAGCACAAATGCTAGCTCGCCTAAGCTAAAGACGAAATTGAACCCTGATTTTTTTCATGTCATTGAATATCAGATTCATTTCTTTTAGATGGAAGATAGGTTTGCAATGGTGTCAGAATTCGATCAAGACCACACCCAGATATTGAAGATGATGCTTGAAAAACTTCGATTCCAAACCTGCCTCGGTAGCTTCGGGGATCATGCGGTGTATAGATTTCTGCTCAACGCAGGCGAAAGAAATTCGAGGTGGAGGAGTTGAATCTAGGCGGTACCATCATAACACCGCTACGGAAAGCATTTCTCTGGGGTCCGGGAATGAAGTCGTATGTGTGGAGGGCAGAGGGAAGCCATCACCACAGCATCGCACAAGGTCTCTTGTTGAGAAGTGCACGCGCGCCGCAGTTGAAGCTGGAGTACCTATGCTATCTTCCACTTTTAGGTTCTTTAACACATTTGTAAGTAATCACACCACAACGATAGGAGTGGTAAGGAATTCCTCTGACCGCCATAGATAAATGCATCGAAGTGAGCTTGGAATGCTTTGTTTGCGAGGATACACATACTATTAAGGGTCGAAAACGATACTCAAGTTGAATCCTTTGACAGACAAAAGCTTGGTTTGTAAGCAGACTGCCAGATGCCTTTGCCGGTTTATCACCAAGGAAATTGTCCATTACTGATTCGATTTAGTGAAATTTGAGGTTTGGAGAAATCCATTTCGCAACAAATCAAGATTGCCGATGGGAAGCTAGATCGAAAGAACTTTTGGTCGATTGAAAGTCATTGGTTGTTTTAATTCTGGAAGTGTGAGTATTGTGAGCGATACATCTATAAATCAAACACTGCTTTGTTGGATCTCTGTCGGACTACCGGTAGCTATTTCCGCCGTCTTAAAACCCAAAGCTTGGTAATACTAACAGAGGTGATGTTGAGAAGATGATATGTATATGGATATGGTAATTCTTTATCCATTATGATGCTTAGTTCGAAATTTTGATAGCTTTGCTTTGATGGTGTGTGGTTCCTATTCTATGGGATCAGGGTTAATAGTTGAGCCACCACCTTCATAGCTAACAGGCGCTGGGTTCATTACTTTCAGAGATTTCCGCACTTTAGATTCAGATAACACAGGCGGTCTGAAAGGGTTCATCAGCTGTTATACCGAAATGATACGCAGTAAAGTCAAAGTCTACTTGATGAGAGAGATCCAAATGTTGTACTTGAAGTAGACCCATAGATGCAAGCGGATTTACTGCCTGCCTCAATCCTTCATTACTTGAAGTAGACATGAGATGGAAAGATGAGCGTAGTTGGCTGAAGGCACCTAGCTAATGCACTGAAATATAACCAGGCTAAAGGCGTTTCACTGCTTGACGAGTTTCAACTTCAATGTCTTTTCGAATCTACACACCATAGAGACTCGGAAGTGAAGCTTTCAATAGGACAAAGTCAAACAGCTTGTCGAGTTGCCATATTATTGAGTCATCATCCAGTCACGGCCGATTTTTTTTACCAATATACAAGTAACGTCAATTCCAGGTTGGCAAGCCATCTCTTTAAGATTTTGAGAACAAAGCATCTTGGATGACTACTCGTTTGGATTAGGTTCACCACGGCTCGATACGAAGAGCACCTAAAGCATATACATCCCCAGCACACCGTTGTCCATCAAATACAAACAAATTCACTACCGGAGGTTGCTGTGCGCCAAGTACATTTAATACTTCTTGAGACATCACGGATCCGACAATGGCACAAGTGGCAACAAATTCGGCCCCTGATGACTGACACAATCTCCTAAATACAGAACATAAGGTAAGTATTTATTATTTTGTGATACTTCGTGGATTGGATGCCATTGAGATTGAAATAGGAGCAACTGACTCTAATATTGTTGTAGGAGTGGATACCTGCTGCAAATTACGTTTTTTGATGACCTGATCGCAAATTTCAACCAACGCAGGTAAGTCATCTGATCCCTGTGGTAACATTCCTTCATGGCTAGCTTGGAATTGGAAGAGTGCTGATGTAATCAAAGGTATTTGTCAGAAAAACATGACATGTTGACAAATGAAGAGCAAAGATACAAACCGAGACAACCCAATAACATCGGTGAAATTTTTTTATGTCGACGAGGTGTTACATGGTTCAACGATCCTTCTAACATCTCACTAAAGTGAACGAATTTTTGACATTTCTTCTCTTGAGTCTTTTCCCCTCCAAAACCGACGTCTTTTACTCTGTTTACTCATGAGGATCAGCTGAGTTCAAATCAAAGGTTTTGAAAGGTAATGATTATTTAAACTCAACCTGAGATAAGTGTGGTCGATCAAGTCAACAAAGAGGTAGCCATCTAGTCCTAAGCATCCTGATACAAACAGAGGTACACCAGCTTTCCTACATGCTGTATTGACCTCTGACTAAGTTGAAGATATGAGCGCCTTCGGATGAGTATACTAGTTGGGCGCGACAGGATTACTGATCCCAAAAGAATGTCGGGACATGTCCCATGCAACCCTGGCTTGATGTATATCCTTCGAAAGAGGAAAAATAGACAAACACACTTACAATTACAAAAGAGTTTGAATCATTCAGGCATACCACATTGAATGTCTTCAAGAATTCGATGTCCGTAATTTTGGTGGATACCTGTTCGCTGATCCCAATGACTTGAACTCGTGGATTCAGACTATTGATACGATCCCTACCAGCGTGCACTCGCTGAAGATACAAGACACTCAGAAAATCTGACATGGCCAGCCGTTGGACGCGTCTGGGTGGATATAAGAGTGCGATGCTGAATTCACCTGTTTTCCTACATCTTCATCTCTGAAAAAGAAACCCGCCCCTAGATCTTCAATCTGTACTAAGCCTTCATCTGCAATAGTGATGGATCCTATCCCTGCCAAAACTATGTTTTTACACGCCTCGGTTGTGATTCCGGTGAAGTTGATCATCAAAACCGAACTTCGTCTCATCCTATCAAAGCCAATCCATCACAAAGAGACACGAATCAATGAATCCCATGTCAGCTGTGATTTGGCTCAAAGATCGGAGGATATATCGGTATACCTGTTTTGAGCTTCGAACCCCCACAGCCGGATTTGTCGGTCATAGAGCGCGGCTGGACAATCGACGTGACTGTGTTATATCCTCTGGCAACCATGGTATCTGACTCGGTCAAGGAACTAACCTTCTTCTTCATCGATTCCATTAGTATCTTTCGGGCGTGAGGACTGACGAATGGATCAAGAAAACACGTCCATGAGTTTGACAGGCTTACAAAAGCTCTTCCTATCTGGAAATGAAATAATTTACCTGTGACGTTTCCCCGTTCTGTGAGTCTGTAAATAATCAAATACACCTCAATATCGATCCTCACGCAAATTCGGATAAACCATTAAGAGCTAGCTCACGATCCATGTTGACCATGTAGACGATTCCGTGTTGATGGTATGATAGATTCTGGTTTTTGAGAGAAAACGAGGTTGCATGCGCGGGTCAAATGTCAGAGAAAGTGAGAAACAGTCTTGTAACATACACACATCGTGACATGCAGATAACACATTGCACCAAGGGATAAACAAGAGCTGTCACATGCCCTCAGCTTTCAAGTGTATGCGTCTAAAGAGGTTCATCGAGGATACCGGAGGGTGCGGCGCAACGCACGCCGGGCGCGCCCAGCCTTACCAGCAAGACGGAATGGCGGCCTTGTTGAACATGGTATCATTGGACAATGGAAACCCCTCATTCAGGTGTCATCATCATATGAAGATCAAGAATGTGCCAATCTATCCGAAATGCCTCCCAATTATAAATATATTCTCCAAAATCTGATCATGGTCGTTAAACATTTACAAAGGTCAAAACTATCCCGACTGCCATTGAATTGGTTTCAAGGTAAAGTATGTCAGAAGGCCATATGAAAACTAGAGTTGGAATGTGTCAACAGAAACTGTTATGAAACTTGACCTGGACCAAAAGCTCAGGTGTTGTAAGCAGAGGTCGTGAACCACAATGATGCCATTAAAACTAGATCACCAAGACGTGACAAAAACGTGTTCATGTAGAAAATTTACAATAGTTTCCATAATGCAGTGAAGACCTTAACCAAAAAACAGCTGGTTGTGATACCCTTCAATCTGGTCTTCACAGTAAAGATCATGTAAGAAATAAAGACCCAGAAGAAAGAAATTCATCATTCAACATCAACAGAGCAAGGTACCCATTCCTCTTCATCATCCTCATTATCTCCATCTGCCTTCCCCTTTTCCTCTTCCCCGTCTTTCTTTCTCTTTCGACTAGCATTATTGATACCTAAAGCAGCTTGTTTAACACTTGTTCGTTTCACAGGTTTAATCTTCATAATCTTTCGATCATTTTTACTCAAGTTACCTAACTTTAACATCCAATCTGGTACCTCACATCCACTATTTTTCATCACATTGACTACCATCTTTAGATATTTTCCATCTTGTTTTGTAAAAAATGTAACGGCTTGTCCTGTGTTTCCAGCCCTTCCTGTACGACCTGTCAAGATCAAATTTGATGATTTGTTTTAGTCAACTTTCAACAACTTGTTACAAAGGATTGAAATTGATCAACTTACCTATCCGATGCAAATAAGAATCAGAACTTTGAGGAAAATCCCAACAAATCACCGTATTGACCTCTTTAAAATCTATACCACGACTAAAAATATCAGTACAACACAAAAACCAAATTGATTTATTCGCGAATTCCAAGACAATTTGATCTCGATCTTCTTTAGGTCTTGAACCATGAATATAATCAATACAATTCGATTTAACGGTTCCAATTAATTCTCTTCTTAAGATTTTGGAAAGTTCTTCTACTCTTTCGGCTGATTGACAAAAAATCAAGACTGGTGGACATAGTTTTTCGACTTTACTTAATGTATTATTATTGTTTCGTAACAAAGTGACAAAATGTGATAATTTACTGGCTTCTGAATCTACATAATCTAATCTTTGTTTCACTTTATTTGGTGCTGCATGTTTTTGACCAATGAGTAATCTTACAAAACGAGCTGAGCTCATGACTGATTTACTCAACTCTTCAACTTCACTTGAGATAGTCGCACTCATCATCACTTTTTGTACCACTTTAGTTTCCTGATTGGTTGTAGTAGCCTGTTTTAAGATTTCTAGGATTTGATCGACTTGTTCAAGAAAACTACTCTTATCTAATAGTTGATCTACTTCATCCAGGACGAGATGAGTTATATGTGATAATGATTCAGGCGAGTCTCGTATGTGATATAATAGCTTGAGTGGTGTGCTAATCAATACATCACATCCTGTTGAAGGTAACCGAGAAATCACATTCGCCTGAGAAGGTTTACGGTCCGAAGTACCGTTTGAAGCTTTGCGTTGACGTTTGTTATGAGGCTTTTGGACCTTGGCAGCCGGATCTTCAGCACCGGGCTCGTCTTCGCCCAAGACAGATACGATCCAGTTTGCCTCTTGAGATTTATCATTGACGCCCATCAAGCCTTTTGTCACTTCACAGACCTGTTGAGCCAACTCTCGCGTAGGTTCGATTATCAATGCTCGTGGAGTTCGTTGGGATTGGTTGGATGGTGGTAAAGATAATAAGATTGGAAGTAAGAATGAAATCGTCTTGCCAGATCCTGTAGGCGAGTGAGCCAACAAATCTCTTCCCTGTCAATTTGAACATCAAGAACCGGAAGAATGTCAATAAAATCATCAAATCAAGTTGAAGATGAGAAGAGGGAGGAAATGATGATTGAAATTGACTCAAAGACTGCTAGAATGATGGGGATGGCTTGCATCTGAATCGGAGTAGGTTGATTCCAACCACGAGTTGACATATTTCGAACCAAATTCTTTACAGTGTCTGATGTGATTTGTACTCGAGGTTTTCTGGATTTTGAAGAATTCTTGGTGAATCGAGTTAATTGATCAAATGAAGTGATTAAATCAGGAATCGAAGGATCTTCAATGACTGTTGGAGTGAGTCTAATCTTATGCTGTTTCCGCAGTAAAGACACTTCATCTGATGATATTTCTTCGGATTCAATTGGATCGTTGTGAGGTTCATCGTTCTCTGTTTGATCGACGATTGATGCCTTCTCTGATTTTTTAGAGCTTGAATGTGAGAAGATATCAAGCTGTGAAGGGTATGCACCATTAGATGTTTTTTGATTTGTTTGAACTTGAGGAGCTTTAGTCTCATGATTAGCCTGTTCGGAAGCATCAAATCAAACCATTTTGTTAGTTTAAGGTATAGGATATTTAAAAAGTCAGCCCAGTGGGTACTAAACCTGGCTGATGATCACTCGCTGACCTTTGAAGGCCTTTTGAAATGAATTGCTTTGGTGAGTGTATGAAATGCGTTTTCCATCTTTTTTGTTCGAGTGTTGGCAAGTTTTGACAGAAGGGAGAGGAATGAAAAAAGTTGAACCACTTGTTATTTACATACATGTCCTGGCACATGTGTAAAAGTCCCGGGTACCAAGTCCGAGTGAACAGCCTGGCCGCGGTACTCCTGACAGAGTCCGAAGTGCGGGTTTACCGAGAAATCCTGCCAGACCCATGATTGAATATTAGCGGTATTCGTAACCAGATAGAAGTGATCATGTACCTCAGAACCTCGTTACTAAAAGGTCGTCCTAGGTCGTCCTGCTGTTGGATTTTCCCAAATCAAAATACAATCAAGTTGGTCTCATGACACTCTTGGTTAAAAAAATGATCAAGAGGTTGACTCTCTATCGTATATATATACCCTCTCTATTCCGTCCTCCTCTTTTTATTTGGTCTCATATCTTAAGCGTTATATCTTATGTTGAGGATATCCTTTAAGTCGTTCACAATGGCAAGCTTATCATGAAGGCTCTGCAGGAGTGCGCTCAAAGGAGCCTTTATTCGAGTGTTGAACTTGTGATCATGGTTTGTTCCAAACAAAAAAAGTTGACCGTGGTGTACTATGAGGTAACAGCGCGGAATTTAAGAAAAGTCGTGTATTTCGAAAATCAACGTGATTGAACCCCGAATCATAATATTCATGGCGAATCTCTGATAAGCTTTAGGGGAAGGAATCTCATCATTGGGTTTCCGCGTATACTCAAGTCTTAGGCAATAAACGTCATACGTACTTAGAAAGTTTATTGGGTAATATGATTTTTCGTTGTTAATAAAGAAAGGATCTTCAATCAGTGCTCAGCTTGCATTTCTAACGTTTTCTTAGCTCAAAGCCTTATTCAAGGCGTCGCTTATGGAAAGAGCTTAACTCTCTGCCTTTGTGTGCGGTCTTAATCCAGATGCTGATAATAGATATTACATGGCATCCCTTAGCAAGAAAGAATCAACCTCTAATAAGCTGGATATTTGTATAAAAGCGAATCAATTTCGATTGCAGCTCAGAAGTGAAGTAAGTAATCCTTGATAGACCTTTTGTTTACAAGATGGAAACTGAGGCCCTCAGAATTTCAAAGGTCGTATCAAAGGGAAATCTTTAGCCATAAACGTTATCCCTTCTTCTTCTCCAACAGCATCTAGTCCTCAAGCCGCGTCGACGAGGAATAATCCCTTCAAAACCAGTGATCATCATTGCTTTTCCCGTTTGGCATTCTACCTACGATCAACAATCGATAATTCTTCACGAAATGTCTTTCGAAATACCCACCTCTATTGATGCAGCGGCGAGAGAAATATTCCTTGAAGATTATGATGAAGAAGTTTTAGATTATGAATCTGGAAAGTTAAGAGCAGCCAATCGATCCAAAAAAGATAGTACTATGCCAGCTTTTGGTCTAAGAGATCGGATTATTATTCATACTGAACCATCAAGAAACCCATCAAATCAAACTCTTCATCATCAACATCGAAATTGTCATCATTCACCACCTCAAAATCAACTTAATTCTTCATTTCAAAACCTTTCTGTCTTTGGAACTACCACTCGAAGTAATCTTAGATCATTCACAGATTCATTATGCATTCGTCCAACCGTTTCACAAATCTCACAAGGTATTAAAGATATCATGTCAAAGAAACCAAAGTACATAAGGAGAAAAGTTGTAGAAGATGAAGATGAGAAGGAAACTTGTGAAGTTGAATTTATTGCGGATGAACGTAGGAGGCGAAGACAAGGAACGATTCTAGATGGTCAAGAAGTTGATCAACGGCTCAAGGCGGAATTTGGATTTGACATGTCTAGGATTTCTGAAAGTTCTTCTCTCGATGTTAGTAATGGTTGTGATTAGTGGTTTCTGTTGAATGTTTTGGGATTTGTTTTGGGTTAAAGTTACATCTTCCAAGTTATCGTTTTCCACCGTGTCTTTTTCGACTTTTTTTGTCATTTGGATTTGGTTTAGACCTTCGGGAATGGAAGACTCACAGTGTTCACATGGACTCATTGGTTTGTTCTATTTATTTACATTTTAAGATGATGGCTACTATATATATTTGGAGATTGGGATGAATAAAAATACTGCTTGATAATTGCTTGCATATGAAGAGTATTACCTATATCTGAGAGTAATGATAAGATTTCCAAACCTCAATCCATTTGTTCTTGGACATGGTACAGAATCTAACTTAACCCAAGTCCGATCGTGCAAAAGCTCACGGTAACCCGAAGCCGAGGCACGAGGGACTTGCACATTAAATAACATCCCTGGTGTGACCAATAGGCCCCAAAAGCCAAATTTGGGTCACATTGGGCTATGATCCATCCCATCCCATTCATTATCACGATGGTCTCATTTCTGAAACTGGCTCGTGTTAGCTCTTGATCTTGTACATAACTTCCATTAGAAAAAAAAAAGAATCGAATTGTGCCATCTCGCAAGAATCCAGATGGGAAACGAGTAACAATTTTGTTCAGAGACATTACAGAGAGTTGATTGAAAGCTCAGATTCAACCGAGGGCATGTCAGAAACTTGCCTCGGTAGCGACCCATGCAGCGATGAAAAGAAACGAGTTCTGAGAAAAGAAACGAATCTCGAGAAAGGAAATCATCTTCAGAAAGAATTTACCGATTTCAACCGTTGATGAAATCCGATCGACTCCTGTTTATATTCTCATATGGATCCATCAAAGTCATCGCCAGCTCGACCTTCGGATGTGTCTGAAAAGCTTTCGTCCGTGACGGGCGATCTACCACCTGTTATCCTTAATAAGGCAATCTCAAGCAAATCAAATCAAGAACTCGCTTCTTATATTGGATTGAAATTCCTGAAGAAGTATAATCAGGACGCTCGAGAATTGCAAAACAAGGCGGTTCTGGCTGCGGCTAGAGAGGAAATCGTATTTTTGATTGCTGGTACTGGATACGGAAAGACACGTATCGCTGAGGTTTTTAGATCGCTATTCAGTGTGAAGTCACTTGGCATTGTACTCATCCTCAACCCACTCGATGCCTTGGGAGACAATCAAGTTTTGGAAAAGAGGAAGGATGGCTTGAAGGCAGTAAATTTAACTGCCTTGAACTTTACTTCGGAGGTGGCACACGATATTGAAAAGGGTGTGTATTCCTTCATCTATCTGGTACGTTGCATTTCTTTGATGCTTCATGATAACCATCACAGTTTTGTACAATATTTTTTAAACTGATTGGTGTTGTATTATGTTGAAAAATCAGAGCCCGGAAATTTTTCTTACGAATCGTACCTGGCTGAGAATCTATAATAGCATCTGGTTTCGGAGACGGCTGATTTTGAAAGTCGTTGATGAAGCCCACATGATCTACGAATGGGGTTTGGTTGAAAGTGGTCAGGCGAAGCATATGAGTGTCGTCAAAAAAGAGCAGGATGGTGGCAAATTTCGACCTTCGTGGGGAAAGCTCTGCTTACAACTTATGGCAACTCGACATGTACCACTCTTGTTAATGTCAGCTACCTGTCCAGCACCACACTTTGATGCCATTATCAATAATCTCAGTATCAAACGCGAAGACGTAACAGTTTTGAAAGGCGAGTTGTGTCGGCCGGAAATCCAAATTCTGAGAGTTGGAGTAGCAGCAATGGGATCTCTCGACTTTCTCAACAAACATTTCTCCAAGAGAGTCGACATACCCGACAGCGAGGTTGTCCCAACCCTTGTCTACTCAGGCTCTCGCAACGGCACTATGCATTCTCTCAGAGCAATGAACAGATCTCGAGATACTAAAGGTGACGAGTCCAATCCGGATAGCACCTTTGGTCAACGTTATCATTCTTGTTCGGGAGATCAAACAAAGCTTAATCGTATTCAGGATTATACAGATCGTAAATTTCCGATAATGTCATGTACAAGTGCTCTTGGTCTTGGACAAAATTGGACTCATGCAAGGATTGTTGTTCAGCTCGGCCGAGCTGGTCTTTCTGAAGTTACACAAGTGGTTGGTCGAGTCGGAAGGAACAAGAGGCCTGGGCTTGCTGTGATCTACCTTGAAGAGACTCGAAAAGAAGGTTTAAATTCGATAGATGACTTCAAAGACATGACTTCACAAACAGATGACCAGAGAATGGATGCGTTGAAGGTTTCAAAAGTCTGTGTGAGGATTGCTTTGGTGCTTGCAAACACGTAGGTTGATACTCTAGCTTTTTCATCTTTGGTCAATCCTAAATCTCACTTTGGTTGTTGTGTACATAGAACAGGATTTATTCCAATGTATCCCGATCATGATTCTGTTCGAAATGAAGCTCAGCGTCAAAAAGATCAAGGCTTTCCACCTTGTCACTGCGAAATTTGTGAGCCAGAGGAGTGTGAAATCCTAGTCCGGAACCTCCACTTGTTTACATCATCCAACTTCGAAGAGGGTTTAAAAGACCCACGATCACTTGACCCCGATGCCGACTATAGTCCAGCTGGGATGAAAGCAGCAGAGAAAAGTGGTACTATTGTAAACAAGCGAAAGAAAGTCAATCAATCTAGAGAGACTGAAGACATCGACTTCCTTGACCTGATACACGAGCTAACGCAAGTGTTCTCAGATCACTTTGGATCGATCTACAAGGATCAGGCTCCGTTTCCGCCGTCTGTCCTTTTTGGAGAAATTCATCTTAACAAAATAATTGATCACATTGAATCAATCAATACTGAAGAGGACTTAAGTGAAGTTATCGGTGGTGATGCTTTGTTGGGAAGCATAAAACACCTACTTAAAACAATCTTGGATTGGAAATCCGACTTTTGTGGCGAGCAACACTACAAACGAATCAAAGAGGAGAAACAGATTTCTGACCTCAACAATCAAATTACAATTGAAAGGCTAGAAAAACAAGATGCTGATCGGAAAATGAAGCAACTGGAAAATTCCTCGGATCAAAAAAAGAAAGCCGATGAGAAAGCGCGAAAATCACAGGAGAAGATTGATGAGAGGAGAAGAAAGCATGAACAAGCGGAATCAAAGAGGCATAAGCGCGCCCAAGATGATATTGAAAAAGAAAAAGTCAAATTTCGGAATCAGAGGATGATGCAATGGCTACGAGAAGGTGTTCAAGAAAATGATCTTGATGCAAAAGAGCTGGAGTATCAAAGGTGAGACTTGCCTGTTTATTCTCCTGCCTCCCAATCACGCAGCTCAGGATCAATTTGAAACTCGTATGGATCTGACTCTTCTTCCACATTTGATGTGACTTCGGAATTGTAGATCCCTCGAAAGGGCCAATGAAATCAGTCATTTGTCCCGCTCAGAGAATCTTGAGACAGTTTGACTGTTCCGAGGAGATAGATATCAGGAATCAGACCACTTCTTATTGTTGATCCGGCTTGACAGCTAATTAAGTTGTTATCTCGAGCAAAGCCAACAAAGTTCTGAACTGTATTGAGTGTGAGCAATGTCTTTGATGACTGGTATGTGTCATTTAACCCTGAGCGCCCCTTGAGTGTATGAAGGAGCTTCCGGAGCTGAAAAGCAGATGAGTCAGGATCATCAAATCAGACCATGATATAGCTCACAAATTACTCACATGGGGTACACATATTGAAAATGTATCCCTCAAGCGAGAAATTTCTGTCCCACTCCCCTATGTGAATTCAAAACCACTATATAGATCAACATCCACTTTAATAGTATATCAAAGAGAATAACTCACCGATCTATTGTAGAAATACTTTATCCAATAGTTTTGAACTTCAAGGAAAAAATCCTTGGCCACAAAGTGATTTTGTCGTCCGCTTGGAGCAATTAACATTGAATGTAAAATGACATGAGCCATTGGCTGTGGGAGTGTTTTGGTTAAGAGAACAACCACTCGTGGAAGATAGGTTGAGTAATGAGTGAGACCATTCATTCCTTGAATCATCACACTCCATCTCTTCCACATAAGCATGAGACGGCCGATATCTCCCGCAGACATTGCTCGCTTTGCTTCGACAACAGTCGCAAAGTCTCGTAACCTCAGCAAAAGCTGGCATTTACGCTGGTCTTGATCCTTTTGGGCTGCAGGAAGCGCTGATGTTGAAAAGATGATTTCAAATGTTTTATCAATAACTTTGTCAAATTCAACAGCATTTGTATCAAACCTTTCTTCAAGATCTAGTTCAGTCTTGCCAAGGATTTCACTGTGTATTTTCAAAGGTGTCAGTTTCAAATCGTTTTGTTCTACCAAAAAAAAAAATCTTTACAGAAGTGCATAGGTTATTGTGGCTTCATGAATTTTCTCGATCCATCGAAGCATTGATGTGAAATCTTTCTTTGCTGTTGGAGGTGCTTTTTTTCCTGAAAGGGCAACAACAGTCTGCCATGCGCCAAAATCATTCATGTCGGATGGGTCTCCCCAATGATGGAGAAGAATGGCTTGAGCAATATTCCAAATTGTATGTCCAGCACCTGGAAGAAGTAAGATATTCTCTAAATTCTCATCTGCGATCTTTGTTGCTTCACGCTGATTTCGTAGTCCATCAAAGTTGAGGCAAGTACCAAGATCACCCTCCAAAATGTGAGTTCGGTTTGAAAATTCTTCTTTGGTCAAACCGGATTGGCCAATCACTTCCTGCCACAGCTGACCAACTCCATCAGATCCATTATCAGTTGAATCCATCATTCTGAGCATCAGGATATTTGGAACTTGACATTTAATTTGATCAAGTGGCGCCACGTTCAAGAAATTCGAGTTTGAAACATTCCTTTTATTTTTGACATAGCGGAGAAAGACAGAGGCAATCTGATTCTTGAGAGTTAGAATCCACCGACTTTGTTCATCTTCAGTCGGCATCAAGAGGCCCAAGTCTATTTTTTTTCGTGCAGTCATCTGTAAGATATGTCGAATGTTGTCTTTGCTGAATGCTCCGGTGTCTAGATCCTTGAGTAGTTTGGGGTTTAATTGATGGATGTAACCCCAAGAACCATGATACATCTGAGTCTGCTGATCAATTCTTTCGTGGTGGATACGCTCCTGAATGTCAATGTTATCTAGAACAATCACAGGCGATAAGACCAATTTCTTTGACATCACTACTCGAATCTTTTTTACTGCCTGTTTTCCTAAACTTGCTAGACCGTTCATCGCAGTTGACCGGGAACAGGTTAATCCGATATAGTTCAGGTAACTATTGATTCTCTCGGTGACACCACATGCTAAGAAGGTAAGCGAGTTCTCGACTTGGAGACTATTACATCGGCGATTGCAAGCAAAGGCAAGCATTCCCATCAATGTGGCGTTGATCTGTGTTTGAATCAAACAACAAAAGTATCAGTTTCAACTAAGCTTGTAAAGGTATCTTTCAAAAAAGAGATCGACTGCAACTTACTGCCTGTAGACGATTTCTCAAATTAACTCTCTTGTCCTTTGATCTTACATACATCCTCCCTTCAACGTGCTCAGTCGGATCTTTGTCAGGATCGTCCAATTCATTCTCGAATTCTCCTTCGAAATCAGAAGAGGAATCTTCAGGGTCTGCTTCATCTGTATCGAAGTCTTTAGAAAGCTGATCATGATGACTATATTCTAATTTTGCTTCTATCAACCTCCACATGAAATTCATGCTGTCCTTTAGCATTGCATTGCGTCTGTTCTCTTCGCTTCCGTTAAAGAAAGTGTCTTCGAGTTTTGTTGCATTCACATATGCACTTTTTTTTGTAGCAGTGTTCCGACGAGGAGTTTTTTGTGTATTAACAATCTCGATAGCCTGAGGGATTGTTTATGAGGAATACATTCTGTCAGTTCTTGGAAATCTGAAGTTCAGCAAATAAATGTGAGCCATACCTGTTGTAGAACCCACTCTTGCCAGTCATGTCTAGCTTCCGCGGTATTTTCGTCATCTACTAATTGTTTGATCGAGTCAAGTAGTCCTCGTGTCGATTTCCACCCAGTTGGTGAGATCCATTGTTTTCTTCGTATGATGATCGACTCTTCCTTTGAAGCCATGAAGTTCTAGAAGAACTGCTTGGCTGATAGGCCATGGTCTTCTCTCAATCTTACGCAGAGACCTTCGAGTACAGACGTTTTTTTTGACTCTGTTCGTCCAGTTGTGCGATTAGGCTCTTCTTCGATCACCATTCTCAAGACCACGCAACATCAATTCTTTCAACGACAAAAGTAATAGATTTCGAAATGTTGATTGATAACAAAAAGTATGTTAGGAAGATGAGGACTGATCTACTCGTCTCAAAACAAACAACAAGAGGCAAGTGATCATGTTTGATCGATTTCATTGATTGCATTACTGATATCTCGTCTCTGAAGACCCTTTATATCTTTTTCGCTCTCTGATCTGATGTACACCCGATGATCACATAAGCCACCGATAGCTACCGCTAGCTACCAACGTCGATTTGCGAAGATCAAAAGCAAATTGTTCATCCCTTAGTATAAAATCTCTTCAGGCTTTCTGAGGTTGTACATAACGATCTTAGGGTTTGAAATTTCAAATCTAGAAATATGCAGCTTCAATGAATCAACACGATCATGAGCTCTGTCGAGATTCTGAAGAGGCCATTTCCTTCAGAACTCGATAGAGCTCATCTGATTGATTTTTTGAAGAAATCACATTTGTGGCTCGTGGTGTAAATGCAAAGTGAAAAAACGCCCACCAAAAGGTGGCTATTAGTCACGCCACGATTGACGTTTAATACGCAAGCCCCCTGTGCCAGGGGCGGACGAGTCCGAGAAAAAATCACCTGGCACAGTGGGCTTGTTGTTAAGCTAGCAACTCGAGAGGTTTTCTCTGATTTCCTCTAGTTGACCAATTCCAAAGTGTTCCACGACTTGAAACTGAACTCATCATTCTCATTACCATCATCATTCTATTCATCAGGATATCAAAACTGATCCAAGAACTATCGGGAATCTATCGGGATGGCTAACGAATCGATCGATCAACTCATCTATCGTTTTGTCCAATCGCTTCTTCAACAGCAAACATCAATTGGCGAACTGATTAGACCACTTGACCAAAACCTTCTTCGATCACTCAAACCACTTCTCTCAGTACGCGCTCCTGGTCTGTCCCCCTCTTGACCAAGTCTCTCTTGAGCTCAAAATCCGCGTAATCAATCAAAAATCCCCTAGCTCATCATTTGACTTTATCGCCCTTCATTTGTATCTCGCAGAGTCGAACCTCGGAACAAAGGGAAACTATCATTGAGAGACAATTAGGATCAGATCGTACATTATTTGACTTTCTGAAAAATTATCTGGATTACGTAGCCAATGTCGAGCTCGTCAATGGAAAGGAATCGCCCAATGGTCCTAATCAACATGATCTCAATTTTGAATTGCTCCTTAATGTTTATAAGTTAGTCTCTAATCACCATTATCATCCTTGCTGTCCCGTTGATTCCTGTTCTTTGCTTCATATAGCCCTGCCTCCAATATTTTCCGTCGATCGGATGCTGTGTTCTTCACATCATCCATCCAACACCTTTCTCATGCCTTAGTTCATCTTGCCATCACAGTAAGTTTGTTTTCCTTGGCTATACACGCGTCATGTTGTCTACTCCACTTGTCTTTTCCTTATATTTAGCATTCTGATATGATCTTACTGAATAGGCAGACAAGTCAAGGCAGTCCAACAAAAACGAAAAAGCTAGCGAAGCTGCTCGTCAAATGACTACCACACTTGGAATTTCTTGCATCGATAGGTAATCCGGACTTCGGCCTTTCGGATTCAGATTCTTCTTGTCACTGGAATTATCATTTCATCTGACTTTGATTCTGATCGGATTGTAGATCTGTCGACGAACCTAGCAAACGAAGGGCAGCGTTCAGTCTTGCTAATGGCCTATTCAAGATCTATTTCTTTGTCAGTCTTTACTTTATGTGTTTTTTCGGAAGCCAAAAGAGCAATCCTTACTATTGCTAATCAGGTTTCCCAATGACTCCTTTCTTACTCCCGGTAGTTGAACAATATGAGGTTGTGTGACACAGTCATCAAGAATACCTCAAATGTAATTCATCAACTCGAGACACATTATCCCAAATCTGAACTCGTCACGTTTTACTACTATCTTGGTCGTCTATCTCTGTATCAACGAAGGCTCCATCAGGTTTGTATATCTCTCTCTCTCGATAATAACGTAGCACAGCTTGGGACTGAAAAGTGGCGGGATGACCCCTTAGGCTCGGAATTCACTACAAACCGCATTTGACCTATGTTTGAGCAAGAGTTGGAAGAATCGTAGGTATGTCATGCCCTTGTCCCTTTGTAGCCATTAATAGCTCACTCCCGGTAATAGAAACACCGTTAATGAAATCTTGATCCATATGAACCGTACTATGTTTGTGTCTTCTAGATTGATTTTGATCTATCTCATAGCAGCTTCTTTACCCTTGGGAATCCTACCTGCTCAAGGGCTTCTAAACCACTTCTCGCTTCAAGATTCACTTGGACCAGTGGTTCAGGCAGTGCGGGTCAGTGACTTGAGCACATTTCAACACAAACTCCCGTGATGCATTATCTAATTGACTATCGTTTGTGATTTACAAGACGGGCGATTGGCCAATGTTAGCTGATGCATTGGATAAAAATATGGAATGGTTCCGCTCAAAAGGAATTTATCTCTTGATGAGAGAAAAGTTGGAGGTGATATGTTGGCGAAACTTCTTTGTGATTGCGTAAGTTCATTTTACTATTGAACTTTCCTGTTAGGTAGATAGGAAGACGGAATTGACTGTTTGCGTATGTGTGTGTTTTTGAATAGCGCTGGACTTCAGCATGGAAAGCGAGGAATGAGGCTCAGCCTGACCAGCTGTGTAGAGGTTGCCAGGAGGGTTTTTATGGAAGAAACAATTGATGAACAGGATATTGAATGTATGGCTTGTAGCCTGATTGACCAAGTAAGCCTTATGATCCTATAATCAGCTGATGTCTAATAACTGACAACCGCCATTCTTGGGCTTCAGGGGTACTTGAAAGCCTATGTAAAGCTCGGGGAGATGATTGTCTTTGGAGCAACATTACCAAAAATTGAGAGTGTTGGACATCATTTGTCAGATGGAATACAATCTCGACCGAAGCATGCGACCCCAGGGATCAATAGTTCTCCAATGAGTCAACAAAACAGTGTAGAGATGCCTAACAAGCCGAAGATTGGTTTCCCGATTAAGGGTACGGGTAAGCCCAAGGGCAAGAACCGATTTTGATAAAAGGTTGGGTATTCAGTCTATTTGAACGGAAGGAGTTTCATTTGTATCTTCAAAGTTATATTCAAAAATTATCATACAACTGTTTTTGTGTTTGATCGCGAATTTCGAATGTGACCCCTCTTGTCATTCAGATCTGATGAACGGTGCACCTCAAAAAAGAAACTATTACAATCTTTGTCAGACAGTTTTTGGTTACTGTTCGACTTGATCATGTCGTAACTTTTATGGAGGTCTCGACAGCTTGGGACTATGTTCTATCTAGCTTAAACACAAGTCCCACCACACGCGAGACCCTCACCCTTACCGATCGGGGAGGAACTTTGTTTTGATTTAGAGGTTATGTAGGTACATAGAAATTTGTCTAGAGATTTGCAATTTTGAAATCTGCCATGAACAACTTTTCAGGATGAGAAGTGATGATGATTACCAATCCATTTTGATACCTTGTATTATGCTTTTTCACTATCTGGATCCTACTTGGAGTATGCTCTCGGCAGATAAATATTTCTCATGAGACAAAGCTGCTCTACCTAGGCAGGAAAATCGTCTTGCAGAAAAACCACATTCACGTTATTGGTGTGGTGTAACAAGGCCCGAGTTGTGTTACATAGGCTGGGGACCGGGTATTTGAGATTTGATGAAGGGAGAGCATCCATGAGCACTTCAACTTGAAACTTCTCCCATCAACTTCAACCTTTTCTTTAATCTAACTTCATCATCATCATCATCATGGTCATCATAGTATCCAAATTAAAAGTTACTGAACTCAAATCAGAACTATCAGCACGCAACCTTCCTATCACTGGTTTAAAAGCTGTCCTCGCTCAACGACTTCAAGATGCGATCGACTCAGAGACATCGATCAATTCAGAACCTACTCAGCCTGAACAACAGTCAATCCCATTATCACAACCCGTGAAAACCATATCATCTCAAATTATATCAGAAACGAAGCCTACATCTACTTCACCTTCAGCCAAAAGTCTCAAACGAAAAGATATTCCTGACAGTGGGACAGAAATCACTCAATTACCTTCGAAATCACCTCGTCTTTCTTCCTCAATGATTCCAGAACGAGATACAAATAATCATAATACAATCGATCAAAATATTCAAATTGATTCAAATATCATCGAAGGCTCGACATCATCAGTCAATGATCCTAATCCATCTTTTCATGTCAACGATATCAATCCAGTGATCGAACCAGGCGATCATCCTGTTATGACCTCAGATGAACCCGTGAAGCTGCCTATACCAATCGATGCTCAGCCCGTGCTCACAAGCGTGGATGAATTTGTTACAACAGGTTCATCTGACTCTCCGGCGTCTCACAAGCCGACTCAAGAGGTCCCATCCTCTTCTACAAACACTCATGATCTCAATCTGACATCGAATCTGAAGCCACCCACTCGTGATGACCCCATCAAAACAGCCGAGAAAGTTGATGACGATCTCAGTCTACCACTCCCGGCACTTCATACCACGATTCAAGATGTGACTATTGAAACCTTAGACTCGACTCCTGTGAACCTTTCCAGATCAAATGAGTCTATTGGCCATAAAACAAATGTAGCTGCTTCAGAATCATCTAATCTTGTTCCAGAAAATTTAACCAAGGATACAACCACCATTACACCTACTTCAAGTCTTCATACAGACAAACCAGATAGTGGCACAGTCTCTCTTGACATAAAAGATCAGCAGGTATCAGAAACTCTTATCATATCATCAGTTTCCATACCAGATCAAAAAGATACATCTGTACTGGATACAGACAAACTCAAAATATCATCAGCAATCGACCGGGCTACTGGCAATGAGCTGGAAACAAAAGGCTTGCCTGAAGTCCTTGGACAACCACCTGTACAATCAGTCACACCTGTTCCGGACATAACGGCGACTTCAACACATGTAGTATCAGAAACTCATATCATGGCATCAGCTTCTCCCTCCAATCAAAAAGATTTGTCTGTACAGGAAACAGATGAACGCAATATATCACCAGTTCACCCGGCTACTAGCAATGGCCTGGAAGCAAAAGCATTGTCTGAGATCCCTGAACAAACTATCGTCCAATCAGTCTCACCTGTCCCGGGCGCAAAATCGATTTCATCAGATGTTGTATCACAAATTCCTATCATGACATCAGTGTCTGCACCTGATCAAAAAGATGTATCTGGAATGGAGACAGACAAAGGTGATATGTTACCATCGATCGGCCCAGCTACTGGCAACGGTCTAGAACCAAAAGCATCTTCGCAAATCCCCGCAGAAACACCGATCCAATCAGTCTCACCTGCTTCGGATACAAAAACGATCCCATCACATGTAGAGGCCAAGGAAGCGTTAGAATCAAATGTAACGACTGTTATACCTTCAATTCAGACCAAATCAGATGATAACATTGACAAATCTGCTGGAATAACAGAAGTGAAGCGCACTCTCAGTGATCGCTCAGAGGCAAAACCTCATCCTTCGATCGATCTAACGATACCTCCTGCATCATCTACATCTCATGAAAAAATCGCAACATCGACATTATCACAAGCAAAACCAACAGACCCACATCCACCCCCTAACAGATCTCTTTATATCGCTAATCTTGTCAGACCACTGACAGTTCCACAGATCAAGAATATGTTGTCAGAATTTGGAGAGCTTGAACGGTTTTGGATCGATTCAATTCGAAGTCATGCTTATGTTACAGTATGTGATCATCCTTGAGGAATCACCCCTACCTTGTCTTTTCGAAAATTGAGATTGATCACTAACAATACTTTGTTTGGTTTACAGTTTTCTAAATTATCTTCTGCAACTGCTGCTTACTCTAAATTACATCAAACTGAAATTTGGCCACCATCAACTGGAAAGCTTTTAACGATCATTTATCTTCCGGTAGAAGAAACTGAACGATTAATAAATGAAGAAGAAACTGAAACATCTAAAATGAATCGAAAGATTCGATTCGAATTATATTGTATTCGACCTACGACTACTGAACCTATATGGAAATATACATTAAAAGCCGGTACGACTATTAATGGAATTAGGAAACCAGATCAAATGATGCTTTCTTCAATTAAGAATGATTTGTTATCATCATCATCAAAGACTTCAATGAATCGAATGAATGATGGAAAATTAAATTTATCAATTGATGGATCTAATAGAAGATCTTCTAAAGTTGAAGAAGTTTTCATTCCGGCTAAAGTTGATGATAATCCAAAAGGTGGACCTGAGAAATGGTTTAGGAAAACTAAAACTGAACCTTGTTTGTTTTGGTCTCCTGGAATTTCTAGTCCGGATAAATGAAGTTCAAATCGATTGTTTAATGAGATCAATTTTTAGCTTCAGTGAAGTTAGAGAGATCAGGATACAAAGGTTATGGGGAATGATTGTGCGGTTTTTTGCAATGGGATTTCTTTTTACCCATTTAAAAATTTGTGCGCATATGTATTGTTATGAGCACGTCCGGAGAAATTCAAAGAAAAAAAGTATAAGTTGTGGTTTTACAATTTTTTGAAAAAAAATGAACTACTCTGTAATCAAACGAGAATACGAATTGGTTTGTTTGAAAAGGTTTCGAAATCTTCAACTTTATTTCTTTTTCTTATCATTTGAATCCAGTTGATCAAAATGAGAAATTGTATTTCAAGTAGATTTTGATTCAAGTTTTCTAAATCAGGTTTTTATTTTATTACCCGTGAGTCAATGATCAGAAAGAGGGTATGTGTGATGATCTTTGGTAGCAATTGTTTTTGCAAGTTCTTTACAACACAACCTTCAGAAGTTAGAAATAAAATTGGTAAAATTAGTTGATAAGGAGTTATTGACCCAATGATAACTTGCAATGGCAGCTTTCTACTCGCTGTGATTCCTTCACAACTTGGTACGGTAAGAAGTGCAGGAGAAGTAACTTGAGGATTGGTTCCAAAGGGGAGAGAGGTGGGCTTTATATAGTCCACCATCTCTCTATAATGTACAAATAAGGAAATGGGTGGTACAACGTGAGTCGACAGGGATTTGTCGAGATACAAGCGTTCTTTACAGAGTGGAGGTGGCCGAATCCGGTACTGAAGGATTCGGTCTACAAGTATGATAGGCAACTGATCGGGACGGATCTGGGTGAGATCCGTTTCGATTAAGGAAAACATTGTTGAAACAATAGAAATGAAAAGTAGTGAAAGCATTGGAAAAGCGCGTCGAGCGTATCGAAAGCGCATACAATGAGAACAAAGGGAAATGTCGAAATAGGGAATTACATCGCTGCCCTGTGTGATCTACTCACAATCTTTGGGGCGAGAATGAGCAGGAAGTGACTTGAGGAATCCATTGCCTTGAGAGATGCGAGCAGTTTATATACGCGAGTGTCTACAAGTAAGATACGAATAAGGAAATAGATGTAGTACAATATGAGGCAAGGGATAGCCTTGGAATGGATGACTACGATCAGTAGGAATGGCCGGATCCGGTACAACTGGATCCGGGCTACAATTGGTAACAATGATGATCGGGACAGATCTATGCAAGATCCGTCTTTTTAGAAAAGCAACATAGAAAAGAAACAAAAGAAGAAAAGAAATAGAAAAGTGAAAAGCACTGAAAAGCGCGTCTAGAGAGAAACAAAGGAATTAGGCGGACAAAGAGAGAAATTGGGAATCACATCATCCCCTCTGTAAGACCGTAAACTTCCTAGTTTACCATTTTGCCTTTCCTTTGAGTTGGTATCGTCTGCCTTTTTCTTTCAAAATAAGATATTTTAATGATTGGAGTTTGGCAAACAATTTATCAAGGATTTCTGGTGCGACATCTTCGTTGATGATGTTGAACAGGCTGCTGGATAGGTCGATGTATTTAACAAGATCGTCTTCTAGCTCGCTGGTCTCAATCGTGTAATCGTTGAGATGCGAAATAGAAGTCATCCGTTGTGCCTTTGAATTTTTTTAGTCGGGAACCATTAGTTTTAGCCTGTAGGACATGGCCGTTTGAGGTCATTAATTCAAACGTACCATTTGGGAATGCATCTCGGATAATAAATGGTCCATCCCATTTGGGATGGAGTTTGGAGGGTCTTCCTTCAAAACATCGGAGGACTCGATCACCTGGTCTGAGATTACGTTCTGTGTAAGATTCTTCTGTTTGAGCGTATCGTTCTCCAGCTCTATCATTGAGAAGCTTAATGAGGTCTTCTCGTTTATTTCTGAGTTTGTGAACTGTGATGTTTCGTTGTCTGTGGATCAGTTCGAGGTTCTCTAAAGAACTATCAAATGTGCGACTTACAGCTTCTGATTGTAGGCGGGCTTCTTCTCCATAAGCCATGAAGTAAGGGGAGGCTTTCATTGAGTGAGAATAAGAAGCGCGATAAGCGAAGAGACAAGAGTTTAAGTAGTCATCCCATCGATCTTGGTTATAGGGACTACAACACTTACGGACGCTGTTCATGAGGGTACCGTGGAATCTTTCAATCAAGCCATTAGCTTGTGGGTGATAGGGTGATGTTCGCACATGTTTGATTTTCGATAACTTGCGTGATTCAAAGGCAATAGGACGAAGATTATTGTTTTTAAGTTGTTTTTGATAATTATTATAGTCGAAGTTACCTACCTTAGGAATTTCAAAACTTGAGTCTTGTTGTAGCACTGCGCCGATATTAGTTCCAGATGCGTCAGTGTCTAGTACGAAGGGGTGAAACGGGGTTGGGTGTTGTAATGGAACTGTTTTTGATAACGCTTCTTTAAGTTTTTCGAATGATGAGTTCTCTTCCTTCCCCCACTTAATTGCCGTTCCTGGTTTGGGTGATCCTTCGGTGAGTTTGTACAAAGGAGAGGCGATGGTTGAAAACTTGAGAATGAAGCGTTTATAGTAAGTACATAGATTAAGAAATCCTCGCACTTGAGAGATATTAGAGGGAATCGGCCACTCAACAATTTTAGCGATTTTGTCAGGATTAGTTCTGATGCCATTACCATCAACAATGTGTCCAAGGAATAGTAAGGAAGGTTTTCCCCATTGACACTTCCTCACGGACACAACTAATCCTTCTCTTTGGAGAATTTCAAAGACAGTTTTGATATGCTCGATATGTTCTTCTTTATTTTTTGAGTAAACAATGATGTCATCTAAATAAACCAGCACAAATTTGTCAATAACTTCTTTTAGAACACCGTTCATCATTTCTTGGAAAGTAGCGGGAGCATTACATAATCCAAAAGGCATTACTTTCCATTGAAAGTGTCCTTGTCGACAGGTAAAACCTGTTTTTTCCTTGTCTTCCGGGGCCATGGGAATCTGCCAAAATCCGGATTTCAAATCAATAGTTGAGAAGACGTTAGAACCAGATAAGAATTGATAAGCGTCGTCGATACGAGGGAGTGGGTAGGCATTCTTTCTTGTTACCTTGTTGAGTGCTCGATAGTCAACACAGACTCTTGTTGATCCATCTTGTTTTTTTACGAGCAATAAGGGTGAACTCCAGGGTGAGTCTGTGCGTTCAATGATGCCTTGTTCTAATCCTTCTTTAATGAATTGATTGATAATTTCATGTTCTGCTGGAGTATGAGGGCGACCGTGAGTTTTAATAGGTTTACTATCTCCAGTATCAATGTAATGTTTATGCTTACGATCTTTGATAATTAATTCATCTGAAAAACAGTCGGGAGCAATCACTTTTGCTTCTCGTTCTAAACCTTGACCAAAGTTGTTGTTGTCAATAGTGAATAGCTTTGGTTCACAGTCTTTAGGTTGAATGTCGAAGGTACCTGAGTGTTTCTTGACTGTGTAAGTGCCAGTGTCGTAATCAATGGCTGGCTTGTGTTCTCGGTGCCAAGGGAGACCTAAGATCAGCGAGATATTGGGTAAAGGAAGAATATAAGCTGAGATCGTAAAATTAAAAGTTTCTGAAGTATCCTTATGATAAATTTCTGCTTGAAAGGTGGCAGTTTCTGAACATTTTTCTTGAGCTCCGTTTGCTAGTCGAACACCTTGAGTAGAAACTTTATCAATCTTAATTTTTCTCGGGTTTAATTTCAACATAGTCTTGACTTTCTCCAAGGAAATATAATTTCCAGCTGCTCCAGTATCCATAATTGCGTCCAAGGGCATGTCACGCCATTGGCAAGGGTAAATTGGAAGGGAAGTTTTACCTGGGCCTTGCTGGGCAGCGAGTTCTACTGTACTTAAGTCAAGTGGTTCCGGAGGATTGTCAACAGCGCGAGCCTTGAGATCTTCATAATCAGTCATATCAGAGGTGATTTCAAATTCGATGTCGGAAGGGTGCTCGACGGCTTTGACACTTGAATCTTCCTCGTCGGGTGTGCAAACTGAGTCGAAGTCGTCGTATTCGGCTTGGCTAGTGTAGGTGGAACTGAGGATATGGTTCCATCCTTCTACACACTCCAACTCTTTTTCAGCTAAATCTAGGCGATCAATTTCAGCGACGGGAGAATTAAAGGGGGCTCTAGTGTATTGATATCCGTCAATGAGGGAACAATCCAATTTGAACCTCTTCATACTAGTGTCCTTGTTGATGAGGTCTTCGAGGTTGGAATAATAGAGATCGTTTTTTCCTTCTGGATCGTGAGCGGGTAAGATCTCAGACTCGTTTTCTTCAGTAGTTGAAAGAGATCTTTTGAGATCGGTTTGATCGATGCGAAGTCCATCTAAAGAGAAATAATCGATGCCTTTAGATACGGTAGGAGGGCTATCTTCATTTCCATAGGCTTTGCAGGACTTACAGCACCGAAATCCACTCTTGACTTCATCCTCCATTAACTTGGCGACTGCTTCACGAGCTTCTTGCATTTCCAACAGGGCCTTGGAGTCTAAGTTTTCGAGTTTCTCCAAGTAGGGCTTCTGGTAGTCGGCTAAGGATTCGCGACCGTCTTCAGTGGGTCCGTCAAGACTCTCTGAAGATTCTCTGGAAGCGCCGAGCATTCGTCCTTCAGAATCAAAGAAAGGAGTGGTGAATTCAGCCTGTTCTTGTAATTCAAAATCTTGAAAGGGTGGAATGAATGAATCAAGAGAATTAGAAGTTGATTGAATAGGGAGAGTAGGATCATGATTGATCAATAATAAGTTTGGCTTGCGTCTATCTCCTGAGAAGTTGGGTCGTTGTTTATGAGAGTTAGACGACTTGTTTTTGTTGCGGGGACACGCGTTAGCGCGATGTCCTTTACCGTGACAGGAGTAACACTCGACATTGGCGAGATCGGCCAAGTCTAGATCCATCGGGCCAGAGCCGTTTGTAACGGCGTGAGGTTTACCGAAGCTAGTTGAAGGACGGTAGTGGTGGTTGTGCCGATGGGAAGGGTTGAACTGGGGTTTCTTCTCATGATTTTTTGAGGTCGAGGGAGACTTCGTGTCCCAGTTCTTGTAGCCGCGATGATTGATTTTCGCGCTTCGCTCTGCTTCTCTTGCAGCGGCATAGACAAGTTCCATATCTTGCTTCTTCCGTAATTCTTCTCTGTTGTTGATTTTGTCTCGGTAGAATTCGGGGAGCTTGTCGAGGAAAAAGAACTTGCGTTGTTTGAAGTTCATTTCGTCATCTGGCATGTGAGCCATGATCTTGCGGAACCTTAAGATGTAATCATGGAGATCATTTTGCTTGAAGTAACAAACTTTCAGTTTCTCTAAATTTTCTTCAACCATGAGGTCGAAGTTGTAGTGTTCGAGGAATTGAGTTTTGAAGTCTTGGTAATCGGTAATGGTTCCACCTTGCTTAGTTCGGATGCCATGCCAGAACATGTGAGTTTCTTCATCTAAATAAGAACCCAACATTTCTCCCCAGGCGGACTCTGGGTACTTATGCATCTTAAAATTGGACTCCAATTCCGAGATCCATAAATTCGCGTTATCGCCAGGACCGCCAAACTTTCTGGGTTCGGCTCGAAAGGGATCAGGTTTATTCGGGTCACTAGCACGATTGGTGTGTTGATGCTGGTTGGCTTCTAATTGGTGGATCTGATTAGACTGTTGTTGGTAAATTAGGTGGTGTTGATTGCGAAGTTTGGCAATCTCGCGAGCATGGTTTTGAGCGTTGGTTTGAGTATCGATGTTGACTTGCTCAAGCTGAGCTCGGATAAGGCGTAGGTCTTCAGCTGGGATTGAGACGAATCCTAGATTTTCTTCCATGATTGAATGAGATTCTGTTCGTAAAGAATCGGAAAGGGGTTGGTTATTAAAAGTATTCTTTAAATAAGACTTGATCAGAGTCTAAGGAGTACGTACGTTAATTCTTCAAAAAGAATGTTCAATGATTCAAAAATCGAAATATAAAGGTTGGTAAAAAGCTTTTTTGGGTTAACGGTGTTACACTACGCCAGATCACTAATTTACCGCTGAGTTCAGAAAATTGAAACTGTAGAAAAATATCACCAATACAGGGGAGGTCAGAAAAATTTGAAAAAATAATGATTCAATTCATGGGTGCTGTCCCCTCATTTTGCATATTTTTGCATATTTTTGCCATGATTTTTGAAGTCTCCCCAAACCAAAATGCTCACAGGGGATATTATGTCAGAAACTCAAATTTGGTCCAAAACTAGCAATATTTGGGCAAAAACCTCCAAGCACAAAAATATGAGTATTTTTATTCAATCATCTGAACACTTGCAATTTATGGAAGCCGCATGATGTCTCTACAAGGTTTATTAAGGTGCTGAAGCCATTGTAGTTATGACTTCTATGCTTATATATGGTTTCTGCTGTGTACGTCTCTTGATATATCTCACCCATTATTGGAGACACACAGCTTTTTTGTGCACACAAACTGTAGATCCAGAATGTGGAATTCAGAATGTCAAGACATTACATGTGTTGGAGAAAAATTGATGATTTTGTTGGTGTTGCAAGGTCACTGTCTCTCTACCTGCCAGTTTTGGACCAAAATTGGGTTTCTGACATTATTTGCATTGTGGTTGTAAAAATATGAAAAAATATGCCAGATGATTGGAATGCACCAAAGGGCCCAACCAATATTTTTTCATATTTTTCTGACCCCTCCCAGATTTTCCATAATTTTCTATGTCTTCTCAATTTTCTAAACTCAGCGGTAAATTTTCAATTTGGCGTAGTGTTAATGGTAGGTTTTCTGTGTGTAAGGGATAGGGAAGATTTCTTTAATGAGTTCTAACTAATCAAAAGAAAGTGTCGGAAAGGATTGGAATAACTAGCTAGGGAATTCTAAGGCTTACGACGGGGTTGTTAATCTGGGTGTGAGGGTTTGTTGCTTCTGGGTAAGGTTTCCGGTGAGGATATCTGTGAACGGAGTACGAAAGGAACACAGAGTTGGAGAGAAACAGAACACAGATTAATAACCAAGCTTTCTTCGATATCAGGTATGGTGATGATTTAAAGTTAGAGAGGAAAGAAATAAGAACACACAAATATATATTTGTGATCTACTCACAATCTTTGGGGCGAGAATGAGCAGGAAGTGACTTGAGGAATCCATTGCCTTGAGAGATGCGAGCAGTTTATATACGCGAGTGTCTACAAGTAAGATACGAATAAGGAAATAGATGTAGTACAATATGAGGCAAGGGATAGCCTTGGAATGGATGACTACGATCAGTAGGAATGGCCGGATCCGGTACAACTGGATCCGGGCTACAATTGGTAACAATGATGATCGGGACGGATCTATGCAAGATCCGTCTTTTTAGAAAAGCAACATAGAAAAGAAACAAAAGAAGAAAAGAAATAGAAAAGTGAAAAGCACTGAAAAGCGCGTCTAGAGAGAAACAAAGGAATTAGGCGGACAAAGAGAGAAATTGGGAATCACACCTGTTAGATGCCAGACGTCATCGCATTTCTGAAAAGCGAAAGAATGGGCTCGTACATGTGATCCTAATCTCCATGAGCTTCGGGATTTGTAGCTGGCCTGAAAATATAATTTGGGTAGTGGGCAGTTAGGTTTAGATAGGTGAACTGCAAAGTTCATGAACACGATCTTTGACTTCCGAACGAAAAACCAGGAAGAACTTCATTTCATCATCTTGACTACTTTCTCAATCGAGGTTCTGATGTTCGCTTTTCGAAAACCTGCTTGCTTTAGAATGCATACTGGATCCCCACAAGGAGTGGATGCTCACAAACATCGATTATCGTCCTAGATGAATCAGACATCTCGAGACCAGTTCCGATTACTAGGTTTTGAAAACGTAAAGGTTTTCTCAAGCAGTCTTACAACCGTTGGCCTTGTTTACCGAGTTCGAAGCATTTAAAAAGATACATCGCGGGAAATAGTTCTAGAAGTGTGAAGCGGTTTTGCTTTGGCCAAGGCACTCGCTTTCACAGTTTTACTTGACTGGAGTTAAATGTATCACATTACTTGAAGAGTAGAATCCAGTAAGCTCGACCGCGACATCACAAGTAGCCTATAAAGAGGTCTTCTCCATCAGAACGTGAAGTCGACTTTGATGTGCTGGATCCTTCATCGGGGGGTCCTTCCAATGTATCAAGGCAAATTGCAGGTTGAATTAGACAGATTCCTAATGATGCCAATGCGAATGGATCCAAACAGAAAAATGGGACTCCGTTCATTTTCTTGATATTCGATTGGCTTTTCGCAATGTAAAAGCTGACATATCGGGAATCGGGAGGGACCAGAAAACAGAGATTTGTACCAGGATTGGACAGGAATTGTGATGTTCAAAGGAAGATTCGTTTTCAATGCGCTTCATTCCTCACTTTCTCATTGTAGACTTCTTTTGAGTTTGTTACCCATGGTCATTTTTGCCCTTGTTCGCTTTGATTTCGGCCTCTGGGCAGTAACTATTACTATCGCTCTGATATCACAACTCGCATCTTTGCTTCGGCGAGATGATGGATCCTTGGCTCTTGTTCTATAAAAACGTTTTGACGGTTTTGATTGAAGATAATGTCAAATTGTTCCTGGCGCTATGATGCCATTAGTCTGATTCTGCTTCCAGAAGAAAAATTTTCAGATCTCGGGTCAACGTGAGATGAAAAGACGAGCATCTTCGCGTCCAACCCATGCTATGCCCAAAAGAAACATCAATGAACTGAACGACTGACTGAAATTGATCAGATTAGATCATTTGAAACTGATACGACGCCTTTCATCTGGATAGGGGAAGACAGAGAGATGTGGACTGATATACACCCGCCGAGAACTGGGCCAAGGAGTTCTTTGTAACCTGAAATCACCCGTGCCTTGAACTATTGCCGATACCATAAACTCAGAACCCAAAGATAGTGTCCTATAGAATGAATCAATCTGAAGATCCCAACGAGATGGTTGGAGAGCATGGGCTTTCGACGCGGTTTGTTGCTGTATCGAAAAATGCTTATGAAGACCTGAAAACATACTCCCTTTTTCTATCCCTACGTGCTTTTCAGTTCAAGCTTTTTGAAGAAATCCTGTATCACCCAAAGACAGGCTGATGATTGAATTTTTGTAAGAAAATGTACGCTCGTAAATATTCGGCTACCCTATCAGCAAGGAATTGATGATGATCATGAAGATTGTTTCCTACAGAAAAAGCAGCGGTCCACATATAGCTCTGGCTGCATTCGCGATTCCGGGTTTCATCGAGTACGGGGTCGCAGTGCAAAGGGGCTTCTGTGATCTCAAATAACACATGCTTACTGCTTGAGATGTTCCCCTGGGATGGCTGAATTCATTAATCGGCATGACCTATGTCTAGGTGCCAGGCCATAAAGATAACAATACGTCTGATGCGTCTTTAGCAACCAAACAAAATGCTAAAGCAACGGTAAAACCCCATATACCAATCAGCATTTCTAGAGAATGGAAAATGAAATGAAGTGAGAGCCCATTATCTTGAGTTCCTTACAACATTAGCTGGGTAAGATACAAACGTGGCCATGTTCAATAACGCGTATAAATAATTCGTATCCATTTATGCTTCCAGCAAATGTCACCTTCACATTTTTCAGTGCTTTTCGACTTTTCGAGCTGGTCAGCCTAGAATCAGGATCAGCAATTCCATCTGTATATAAAGTCTTGTGGCCAGTCATACTGATACTCCTCTCAATATAGCTATTCACGTCTCTTTAAAATATCTGACCCCAGCTTTCTGCACAATCATCGATTCCCTTTATAACATATTCTTACTTACCTAAAACCATTGGCAAAATGATGAAAATCTATTATTCCAATACTTGCAACGCTTATAACACCCCTTCATATGGATCAGGCATCTCTTCTTGTCCGGATTCTCAAGAAAACCCATTGGACAATGAAACTCTAGTAGCTGACGATTATGAAATTTTACATTTACTTGCTGAAGGTGGATTTTCTTCAGTCTACAGAGCTGAATCGAAGGCAGATGGAACTCCCTACGCAATCAAGGTCATCCCACGCTTGTCTCCGATATACCTTTTGCAAGACGGAATGATACTGAATGAAATCAACGTAATCAAAGACCTCGATCACCCTTCAATCATCGGTTATTCTGGATTTTATCAAAAGAATTTCCGATTTCACCTTGTTTTCGAATTTGCCGCTGGCGGAGATCTCGATAACAAAACTCCTTTCTCAGAAAAACAAGCCAAGATTTATGTCATGGAATTAGCTAAAGCCATTGAATATTTACATCAAAATCACATTATTCATCGAGATCTCAAACTCGAAAACGTTCTCATGACTTCAGATAATCGAATCAAACTGGCAGACTTTGGCCTTGCTGTAAAGACCACGTCTGGATTGGCGAATGGAAGATGCGGGACTCCATATGCACTGGCACCGGAGGTGATTGACGGAGGTACGTACACATCTGCGGTTGATTGGTGGGGCCTTGGAATTATACTATATGAAATGCTGACTGGCGAATTGCCTTTCAACTCACGTATGTTTTCTTCGCTAAACTCTTTATTCATCTCATCTTACTGTAAACTGACATTTTCTACCCATTTTTCCAGCTACTGACGAAGGACTAAATGATCAAATTAAACATGCGGAAGTGGAGTTTCCATCATCAGTTTCTCCCCAGTCACGCACACTTGTGAATTTATTGTTGAAGAAAGATGCTAGCGAGCGACTGGATTGTCTAGAGAAGGTTTTGGCCCAAGATTTCTTCAGTGATGTGGTTTCTAGCTCCTCAAATGGTTCTTGATTCATCCTGTCTCCAATGAATAGCCCCATCTTTGGGAGTCCGGTATGTTTTTCTTTCATTTCTCTTTTCCTTTTCAACTTTCATGCTCTTCTACTTACTGATTTTTCTTGCTTCCTTGCTCCATCTCTTATTAGGTTTTTGTGGTTTCTTTGATTCATTGGTTGAGGTGTATTTCAAGCTTTGGAATTCTTGGTCTTGTGGATAACAATGAATGCTTTTGAGATATTTACGTCTTTATTGTAGCAATAGAACACAATGATATATTTAAAATAAATAAAATAAGAAATCAGTAAAAAGAAAGAAAACAAACTTTAAGAGAAACATGTGAACAATGATCAGTACCTAAAACAAGATCAACACTGGTAAGAGCTCAGTGGGTGTAAATGACTTGAGGACTATTGGATGATCCCTGCTATGTGTACAATGAGCAACAGGAATACATACATTTTATGTTTCTTTTATGGGCAACCGTCAAAGATTCTAATCACCTGAAAATACTAGATAGGCACCAGAGTCCTCCTGCAGCCAGTTACTATCAACAAGTGATGTGATTATCTGGTTGTTAATTTCTTAGATATCTTTGATGGGTGAACTAGAGAGAGATTGATGATAGATGAAATGTAGAAAAATGAGATGAGAACAAAAATTGGGCACAACTAAATTGAAGTGAGACAATGGCATTTGATAGAAACACAAGATAGGCGATAAGAGCATTGCCATCAAAAATTGCTAAAAGAGCCTCAATTGGGAGGGTCTCTCAGCCTGTCACTTGCTAGGTGTGGGGTAAAAAGGGTACACCCACCACCCATGTCATGCATCCTGATTTCCCGTGTGTCCTTTTGGTTTACACACCGCATATCATGTGTCAAAGCGGTTCAGTGATTATGATAAGTGTGTTGCTCAAATCTGATCTAAATCAAATTAGTGTCATGTTATTTCATCTCTTGTCTGTTTTCATTACATTTGATTTTTTATGTGATCATCCTTCAAGATGTCTTATTTGTTTCTTATTTGATTTCTTTTGTCTTTGTGCGTTTGTTAATTCTTTCATCATCTGATACACAAGCTAACTTAGATGTGCTTGTGCATCCTGGTTGACTCATAGGTTAGTTTCTATTTGTGTTATGTTCTTCTCTAGTCATGATTTCTTCTTTGCTTGTTGTCTTTAGGAAATGTACATCATCTGATACACAAGCTAACTTAGACGTGCTTGTGCATCCTGGTTGACTCATAGGTTATGAGCCTTATTACCGAGTAACACACAGGATTCTACGAACGCATCACGGGTATACTCTTTAGGATTTACCTTTCCTCCTTTTTTGAAAACTATTTTTATCAAAAGCTTGTCTCTTGTATATTACGATTTATTATCAGATGTCTTCTTCTCCTATCAACACTGGATCTCCTTCCAACTCGTCATTAACCGACGACTTGATCAACGTTTCAAACGTTTCTTCCCCGGCTTCATCTTTATCCTCTAATTCCAGGTCTTGGAAGGTTCGGACAAGGCACGCAGTTGGGACCTAGGTCTACGGGGCGGGGTGTGTGCATGCGGGGATAGCGTAAGTACATAACAACTTAGAAGTTATGTACTCAAACCAGTTGGAGCTTGAATTTCCAAGTACAGGAAAATCAAGCTTCCAAGTTTTGAATACGCTACTCATCCGCAAGCTCAAACTCTAAACTTTGATCATTCATCAAAATTTCAACCTTAAATTTTAACAAGTAGAATTTGAGCAAAGCTAGTAGCAATAAAGATACAACTTTAAAAATGTCGAACAACGGAAGTGAAGATCTTTTTCCTGAAAACGTCGATCCGAGAAAGAAACTTAGAGGCTTCAGTAGAGCTCCATCGGTTCCAGCACAACATCAACCACCACCACCGAAAAAACAACCCGCGAAAAAGAAGCAAAATGAAAACGAACAACCTCAAAATTCGAAACCAGTAAGAATTGTGGTGAGAGGGTACAGTCAGGCTGGAACGCAAAGACAGGAAGAAGGAAGAAATCAGAATAAAGAAGGTCAAGAACAAGGCCAAGGACAGCAGCAAATCACGACCAACTTACAGAATTCACAAGGAAACACCCTTCAAAAGTCACAATTACAGCCGTTGTAAGATCTATTGGCAGATTTTTAGATCATTGTGTTGTCGCCAGATTTAATGTAGAGGTCAAAAACTCCAAAAAACCCTTTTGAGACTGATAACTTTACTGCCCATTGGTCAGATCTAGCACAAGAACAATTGAGTTAGTCTGAGAGTGACATAAGTTTTGAGTTTTTGACTTCAAAAGTTAAATCTGGCAACGACACAACTTTTCAAAAATCTGCCAGTAGATAATACAACGGCTGTAACTCCACAAAGCACCACACAAGAAACGAATTCTCAAAACTCAGCAACAACCACGAGTGCAGTAGTCCCCCCGAGTACGGTAAATCCCACGAACAGTCTCCCAAATCTACAAACGATTGAAGAAGACCCAAAGGAAGGTCAACAAGAACCCCGTAGTGACAGTGTAAGGACTCGTGGTGGTGGAAGGGAATGTGAAGATGCTAAAGGTACTTCAGTACTAGTATTGAGATTGTAGCGTGAGGATGCACAGGCCATCCTTGAGCCAGCAGATGAGAGAGCACAAGTCTCAGTACAAGCATAATGTAGATAGCCTTGTATATGGCTCATAACACCACTCCCCCCTTTATGACTCAACCCCCTTTTGACGGGTCAGCATCTTTCCACGGGTTGGCATTAAAAAACCCTGTGGGAAAAAGCCTCACCCTCACTGCTTTCTCCGTACCCTGCGGTATCTACCTTCTGCTTGAGAATACTTGCTGTTGAATTTCTTGATTAAATCTTGCGCATTGTTCATTGCTTCTTCCGGTTCCCAAGAGTCGTGGTCAGGATCATATCCTTTCCAACTGATCAAATATTCTACCTTCCCTCTTCTTTTTCTTTTATCCAAGACTTCAGCCACTTCGTATTCATCTTCATTTTGAATGGTGATCGGGGGAGGAGGCTCTTGTATTTGACCATTGATTTTGCTTGGTTCGAATTTCCTGAGAAGATTCACGTGAAAGACTGGATGAATTTGATTCATCGAACTTGGTAAATGTAACTTGTAAGCATTCTTCGACACACGATTTAAGATAGGGAAAGGGCCCAGCCATCTATGCGAAAACTTAGCTGTAGGCCTGGTTGTCGACAGGTTTTTATTGTTTAACCATACTTTGCCACCTACTTCCCAATCAGGAGTAGCTTCAACGTGCTTGTCATGTTGCTCTTTCATGATTTCTTGGGTGATTTGCATTGAGTCTTTTAAATCCTTTTGAACATCATTTAATTGCGCCATCCTCTGCTCGACTGAGGGCAAGCATTGATCACCTGTTGGTACATCCGTGAAGCTTACATTAAAGCCGTAGTTTGCCTTGAACGGCGACATCCCAATGGCTACGTGGTTGTTGTTGTTGTAGGCAAACTCCGCCATGGGTAATAATGAGCACCAATCGTCTTGCTTGTACGATGTAAAGTGGCGAATGTACTGTTCCACTGCTTTATTTGTGATCTCAGATTGTCCGTCAGTTTGGGGATGATAAGCTGTTGATGACTGAGTGACGATTCCCAGCCTTCTGTTCATATCTTTTGTCACTCTCGAGATGAACACGTTACCTCTATCTGAAGTAATCGACTTTGGAGTTCCATGTAATCGCCATACGTCCTTGATCATCAGTTCCGCCAGTTCATCAGAGGTGATTGTCGTCGTGCACGGTATGAAGTGCACCATTTTCGTGAGGCGGTCTACAACTGTTAAGATGCTGTCATTACCACTTGACTGAGGAAGGTCAGTTATTAAATCATAGCATATATCAGTCCACGGTCCACTTGGGATTGGAAGTGGACTTAGACTGCCA